TGGAAGAAGAAGAAGAAGAAGAAGAAGAAGAAGAAGAAGAAGAAGAAGAAGAAGAAGAAGAAGAAGAAGAAGAAGAAGAAGAAGAAGAAGGAGAGAGAGAAAGAGAAAAAGAGAGAAAGAGAGAGAGAGAGAGAGAGAAAAAAAGACAAGGAGAGAGCACAACGACGTCTTCTCTTATGCGGTGTTCACATATACAGGAGTAACGAAGCTGAGTAAGACAAAATTTCTAAGTCCAGCAGGTCGGGGCTAATCTGGATACATTTCGCCGAGCAATCGGCCTCCCTCCCCAAGTGATATTTCATGTTTGCCCTGTAAAATTATTACACGGGAAGCTTGCCGAAATTTTCAAACATGCTGAAATTTTTCGCCGATCGAAAAATGAGTCGCCAAGTCAATAACTTGGGGAGGACTCGGGGAGTGTCAAAAATAGCTTGGCGGGCAAAGTTGCATACGTGACCGAGTGACAGTGACACGCCGACGAGATCTGAATGGCAGCCGTGTTAAATTTCATGCTCTGCGGGTTAAATTGTTGCTCGCTGTGTAAAAAGCTTGCACGGGGAGTCCGAGTTACTCAAGTATGGCGTGCAAAAGTTGACACGACGAGCATGTAACTATTTCCTGTCGCCAGGTATTGAAGAGTGACAACCAGCTTGATGTCAAGTTCCAGTGACTGCCTCCAGAAAGTGTGCATTGTGGATGGTGGGGCCAATTTTCTCCAGTAGTTTTTGGAAAACTCTGGAGAAAATCTGAGGAGGTACCTGAAGGACGCCACATCTCCAGCTTGCAGTTCAGCCATCAGCTTCTCAAACTGTCCTAAATTCTTATGAGGTCCTCCTTTTCCTCCTCTTCCTCCTTTTCCTCCTCTTCTCCTCTTCTTACACCAGCACAACAGCAAGAGCACCATTATTATGTATACATGAAGTATACTATACATTCATCGTCTGTGTCATGAGACATGTTGAAGGAATGAGCACAAAATTTTGCCCCCCTCTTTATGCATTATAACATTGCACGCCGACTAACTCGGCGACGGGTCGGCAAGGTAGTCAGCATGGACGGTGAGTATGTCAGCGTATTAAATTTTACTCAGTCGCAGCGTTTCTTGGCTCTGCAAGTGGACAGGATTTAAACTAATTGCAAGGCACGACACTCGGCGAAACGCCCGGCGATATGCTCGCTGTCCTAAATTAATGCTCGGCGAGCGTCTCCCCGAGTGCTCACCGACACAACAATGTCAACAGTCATGGCCAGATGCTTGTCACGATTAAACCTGAATTTGATATTATCTTATGGGGAATTGCTTGTCGACTCTACTCCTGTATGTGTGAACACAGCATTAGACTATCCAAAAATTCTACGTTAATAACCTCTGAAAAAAAGAATAAAAGAATGGGTCATGAACCATTTAGAGTTAAGTAATATTGGGGAAAAAAAGTATTTTCGGTCAAAAGTGAAAAGGATCAAAGGATGGGTAGCATTTCCTCACCTGCATAAAAACTCCAGAAAAGACTCGTAGGTATAAGTCGGGGGAATCCCGCCCGATCTGTTTGCACTGAGGACATAAATGACCCCCGTGAAGTTGACCCCGTACGACTCGAAACATTGTGGCGCTAAAGCGGCTTCGAACCTGGAACTACACACGTTCTGCGTCTGAGGTGGCTGTTGCTGACCGGTGGTCAGTGTGAAGAAGGATGTCAGTGTTACAACCAGGGCTGGGGATGTGTAAATAAAAGCTTTTGCTTTTGATCGTCTTATATGGCTTTGTGTGCTGTGGGGGGGGGGGGTGTTGGTTTTGTTAGAGGGGAGAAACGTTTTATCGGGTATGTAAGTCTTTCTGCTGAGCTTTTTTCTACTAGGATGCTGTAGCCATCTCGGCCTCTGACAGGCAGAGTCGTAAGGTCTATCCCAATAAATAAACTACATTGTATCGAAGGGGGCGTAAAAACACCTATATTAACAACAACAACAACCATGTGGCGTCGGTGGCCTAGTGGTCAGGCTCTCGGACTCGCAACCGTAAAGTCGTGGGTTCGAATCCCGTCAGGGGCCCGACGTTGTGTCCTTGGGAAAGGCACTTTGCACAAATTTTTCTCACTTCACCCAGGTGGAAATGGGTACCCGGCTATAGACAGTGAACGCTCTTGTCAGTTTGAAAGTGTTTGAGCACGTGAATTCCGCAGCTTGCACTGTATACTTCCGCGGAAGCCGAGAATGTTTCCGAGTATTCTCAGAGGGTCTTGAGCATGATATGCGCTATGGTATGGTATGGCTCTTTTCGTCTATGCAGACGGTCAGTTTAGCTTAAGATGGTCTCAAGGTTGTCTTCATGCAGCTTCTTTCATGGTAAATTTTCCTCTGTTTGAAGCGCAGATTCTGTCGCAGTGCTTGCATGTCAGTGACGTAGATCGAAGCTCTGTTTTTCCGCTGTTTTCCTTTCGTCGTTGGCTCTTCTCAACCTCGTTGTTTCTAAGGCTGTTCTCTAGCATTTTAGTTCTTTCCTTTATAATTTTCCTCCATGTTTTCCGGTCCTCAGCTATTTCTTCCCAGATGTTAAAATCTACTCCAAGCTTAGATAAGCTGTTTTTGCAGGTGTCTTTGTACCTCAATTTTGGTCTTCCCCTCTGTCTCTTTCCCTGGGCAAGTTCTCCATAGAGAAGTTGCTTCGGAATCCGGTTGTCATCCATTCTCTTGACATGGCCAAGCCATCTCAATCTTTTTAAACACAGGATAGTTGTCATGCTCTGGAGGTTTGCCTGTGTCAACACTTCAACATTTGTAACCTTGTCACTCCACGAAATGCCTAAGATCTTGCGGCAGCATCTGAGTTGGAAAATGTCGAGGCGCTTTTCTTGTCGATTGTACAAGGTCCATGTTTCAGATCCATAAAGGAGTGTGCTGAGGACACATGCTTCGTAAATCTTGATCTTTGTTTTGATGGTTTATCTTTTGTTTTCCCATGCTCGTTTTGTCAGCCTTCCAAAAGTTGTTGCTGCTTTCCCTATCCTGGTGTTGATCTCATAATCAAGTGATGTTGTAGAGCTGATGGTAGACCCCAGGTAACAGAACTTGTCCACTGTCTTAAGTTCTTTGTCGTTCAGCCACATATGGCTCTGCTCTGCACCTTCTTGGGTAAGGATAACTGTTTTCTTAACACTGATGACCAAGCTAAAGACCTTGCATGCTGTTGATAGGCGGTCCATCATTGTTTGTAGGGTTGATTCACTGTGAGCAACAAGAGCAGCATCATCGGCGAAGAGAAGGTCTCGTACTGTTGTTTTGTTAATCTTGGTCTTGGCCTTGAGTCGAGCAAGATTGAAGAGCGACCCATCAGTTCTCCAGTGAAGGAAGACATCCCCTAGTGACTCTTTGAATGCGTATTGCAGTAAGACAGCAAAATAAGTGCTAAAAAGGGTTGGTGCTAAGACACAACCTTGCTTTACTCCGCTATTGATGTTGAAACTGTTTGATGTTGAACCGTCAAACTGAATGGTGGCTTTCATATCTTCGTGGAATGAGATGATGAGCTGTAGCAGTATTGGGGGACAGCCAATTTTTCCAAGCACCATGTACAGTCCTGATCTACTGACTGTATCAAAAGCCTTTGTCAGATCGACGAACGCAGTATGTAATGGCAGTCGTTGCTCCCTGCATTTTTCTTGTAGCTGACGAATAGAAAAGATCATGTCCATTGTTGAGCGGTTTGATCTAAAAACCGCATTGGCTCTCTGGTAGGACTCTTTCTGCTAGTTTCTGAAGTCGCTTCAGGATGATCCTAGCGAAAGCTTTTCCAGTGATGCTTAGCAGTGAGATACCTCTGTAGATGTTGCAATCTCCTTTGTCCCCTTTGTTTTCGTAGAGTGTGGTGATTTTGGCATCTCTCATGTCATGTGGAATTTCTGCTTTCAGCCAACAAGTCGTAGGTAGCTTGTAGAGATATGGGAGGAGAGTCTCTTTGTTCTCTTTCAGCACTTCAGCAGGTATGTTGTCATTTCCTGCTGCTTTTCTGCAAGCGAGTTGTTCATCGATTGCAGAGGAAAGTTCTTCTTCTGTTGGTGTTGTATTAAGTTCTGACATTTCTGACATTATATGGGCTATATAAATGCAATTATTATTATTATTATTATTATTATTATTATTATTATTATTATTATTATTATTATTATTATTATTATTATTATTATTATTATTATAAAACAACAGCAATAACCACAACATTTACAATAATAACAACAACAGCAACATATATTATTGCGGGCCTTATCTAGATCTAGATCTAGTGGTGTAAACACCTGCAATTGCTTTGTTCACTCATTGAAACTGAGCTAACATCTTGTTACCAGGTACTTTGTAATTTTATAGCTGCCATCTTAAATTTTCAATGGCTAGTAGGCTAGGCCAATGAATAAAGTCAACCTTGCTCAAAGTAAGCACTTTTTCGGTCCTGAGGTGTTGAATTTATCAGAATTCCATTGTAATTTGTTTAATTTGTAATTAAGGTGCTTTAGACAATGACATGAGTCTCATTTTTTTCCTTATTAGTAGTAAGAAAGAGTTGTGCAATATTTTACTTGAATTATTTACTCTGTTAATTTTTAGTGAATGTAGAACTGAGTGTATCATTATGTACATGTATGTGTGTATGTGTACACATGTTTTTCATGAATGTTGTGTAAAGCGCAAAACACGGATTTGCGCGATATAATGTCATATTATTAATATTACAAGTGAACAATGTAATAATACAGGATGGGAGGGAGGGGAGGAGGCAAATGTAAGAAAAGTGTTGGGGGGGGGGCAAAAAGTCCCCAAAAAGTGTAAGATTATATTTTAACAGCCCTTTACAAGAGAGTGACAAATACAAAATAGAAGGAGGGGAAATCAGGATGATAGATGTTTGATAGGGGAAAAGGAGCAAACCACACCAGAGCACCCGCAAATCACCAAATAAAAGGATTTAAGTCTGCTCAGTCTCAAGAAAACAACATAATAAGCAGCATCGTATTCTTTGTCAGAACGCAAGACAATAATTTGTCATGATAGGATCACAGTTGTCTGGGTCCTGGTGGGATTTTCTTTTCTCAGGATTTTCTAACTGCCTGACCTTGACCTAGGTGGACGTATATCAAAATAGATAATTTTGTTATTCCCATTATCAAAGAAGGGGGAGGGGTATAGTTTATTCACCCTCGTCTGTCCATGTTAAAGAATTCTTGCTCATTTATTAATTTACCTCTATGTCCACGATGCTTTCCATGGCACTTCTACAAAACAGCGACCAAACAAAAACATTTTTAAAAAATCTTGATCCAGTAATAAAATTTGTTTTTTCTTTGGGCCTTATATCAAAAACTGCTCTTTGGATGCACACACAGAATCACTAAAAATAAATAATAATCGACTTACAGAAACGGTAAACAGGGGTGACTAAGTCACCTTTTTTACCTTCCGGGATTCCTGATTTAAAAACTCGTGAGTTTAAGTTAATGTTTCTGGGTTCAAATTAGGGGGATGGGTGAATAGTGTTTATTAGATCCTTTTGGGGTCAATTATGTCCAATTAAAGAAATTATGAAGGAAAAGAGGGGGGGGGGGTGCCTTAGTCAGTCATCCCGGCATGGGGTGACTTAAGCATCGTCATATAAGGGACTTTTTTCCCATAATAAACCCCACATCAGGGTAACTGAAGCATACTAGCAGAAGTGTAGACCATTGAATTTCTTCAATTCAGAAATATTATTCATTTATTTTCAATTGGGTAGAATAATTCCCAGGATTTCATTGTAAAAAACACCAAAAATATCATTTCAACGTGATGAATGTCACATTTATAATCCCGGTAATTATTTAACAAATTTGAGCGAATCAAAGTTGCAATGTATCCCCATGTTGAAAAATAGCAAAACACAACATGCATGGGACCGTACGAGATCTAATCTACAGTTCAAAAGGTTCATTCGAATTTCGTTTTCAAAGAGGTTCCTGGTTTATCTTTGTTTTTTCAACGCCTGTATCAGATTGATCCGTTAGGTCCAAGCCTGAGTAGAGAAGTTCCTATTTTGCAAGCTGTTTTTATCCACTGGTTGTACCGATCTGCCCTCATTACTGGCAGATACAGACGGCCCAGCTTCAGGATCATTACCAATGCTCATCCCGGAGCGCCATATTTTTCCTTTTGCGACGAGGTCTCTTTGCAGGAGCAGCCGGATCACCAAATCGCATTTCAAGGAGCATACCACACCTTGATTCGAGAATACCTCCAAAACAGGAGTACCGGTACCAGTATTATTAGCTTCCTCTCTCTCCCCCTCTTAGAGGATCGCGTGGAAGTCTGTTAAGGACTGGTTATTAATTTATCAAGATGGTTGATTCATCATTTGTACAAAAGACCAAGTGGAATTTTAAAAAGGCGAACTGGGAGCTCTACAAGACAATAACAGAAAAGCTCCTGAAAGATATTACACCAAACCCCTCTGTTGATGTCTACTGTGGCGCAATAACAGATTCCCTGCTCAAGGCTGCAGCTCTCTGCATCCCTAGGGGGTGCAGGAAGAAGTACAAGCCCTTCTGGAACGAGAACATTGAACAAGCAGTCCAAGATAGAGAAAATGCTCGAAAAACTCTTGAAAGCAATCCTACAACAGGAAACAAAATTAACTACAAAAAAGCCTCAGCTAAGGTCAAACAGACAACCATCTTGGCCAAAAGAAACAAAT